ATACATACATACACACAAACATATTGTAGATTTCTTGAATAATAAAACAACAATCTACATTTAACACTACTGGTTTATTTCCACTCAAACTTGTAATTTTCAAGCGAAAAAGCCAGAATATGAAAAGATGTCTTTTACTTCACATAAGTCTGAGCAGCATTTAGACAAACAAAATCCAGATAAATTACAATAAATATCAATGTAAACATTATCAGTATACATGTTCATCTGTTATGTACACACAACCCTCAAGCTGTCCCCAAAACAGCAAAAACATTAATATATCAAACAAAACAAAAACAAGCACTTCAACAAAAGTAGTCCAGCACCCTGAAAATGCAATACTTATTTTTGTATTGAATTTACAATCCTTGTCAAATGGAGTACAGTCCATGTGCTTAAACACACAATGAATGTGTCCTATTGCATTTACCTGACCTTGTGAGTGTGTGCTCACATCCCGGTGTATGCCAATCAATGGTTAAGCAACAAAATGCATGCTGGTTACTAGTATACAAGTAAATGTATACTAGAAAATCCACTAATACTCAAGAGTTAATATTACATTTAAAAATCCAAATCAATGTCCTGGGTTAGCTGTATGAAGAGAAATAATTGAGATGAACAGAGAAAGGAAAAAGATCCAGGTTTGTAGAAGTATCTTGTAAAGTGACGTGTGACCAAATATGGTGTCCCATACTCGGAAGTATCTTGTAACAGAATATTGTTACAAGTAGGGCTGGGTGTCTTGTCGTTCGTTACCAAATTTCGATACCTAAGGGGTTAATCTCATCAAAGTCAGTGAACTAATAAGCATGCAGCATGCTTTATGTGCCTAAATCAGTGATTGGCTCTGGCGAGGCATCAAGGAAAACACGTTACATGACCATTCATACACACTGTAGCATCATGCTACATAAGACAATTTATAAAATTGATACTATGCTTTTACTCAAAACTCACTTTAAACCACCATCAATTATTTTTTAATAACTTCCGATTGCGATCTAATGAGGGTTTTGGTCATATAATGTGGCAGAAATATTTTATTTGTAGCCTTTTATATCAAGCTAATCGCCTCACCTGCTTAGCATTTTTCATGTAAAAATCACACTGTATTGTTATAAAAATCTAATGCAAATCACATACTGTCGAAATCGCATATCGAAGTCAAGGTATCGGTATTGATAATGTTTGAACGATACCCAGCCCTATAGTTACAAGACTGTGTGAGAAACAGTAAGCAGAAGTCAGTATACAAAAACTCTCACACAGCAGCCCTTCTCCTTCATCATAGCTGAAATTTGCACCTTAGTAACGTAATATTCAGTGTTCCAAACACGATGCGATACTGATGAAACGTTCAGTGTTACACATTGTAATCAGGAAGTGCTGAATAACTGATGCCGCCAACAGAAGGAGGGGAGGAATGGAGCGGGAACAACCAACATATTATAGAACCTGTAAATATAAGAGAAATACAAGCAGACATAAAAATGATCATTCTATACTTTCATTACATTCTACATCATTCTGTTCAATTATCATTCTATATATTTTTTTATCAAATAAATGCAGCCGTGACAAATATAAGAGACTCTGAAAAACATTTACAAAAATACACATTTTTGTTTTGTTTTAAATAACATAAAACATTATTTCTCAATTTGTAACAGTGACAGTGATACAATTCTAACACGCTCGCAGGATAAAAACAGATGCTGTAAATAGTTAAACTCACCACGTCCAAAAACCTCCCTCAGCAAAGCCATTTTTGGCTTTCTTGTGTGTGTAATGTGTGTCGGGTGGGTGTTGTTGGGTTTGTCTTTCATTGGTCTGTTCCTCGTCTGTTCAATGGGCATCTCATCTGTTATAATGGACACCAGCTTGGGACAAAACAACAGAGACAGAAGATGACAGATCAACACATGCACAAAACATTTACATTTAAACAACTACATGAATAAAATTTACATAAATAAGATTTTCCTAAAGGAAAAAATATTAGTGTTCAGAAAAATGAAAGAAGTTTTAGACAAGCTTAAGATTATACTTTAGTTTAAAAAGAGCCACTCTGCACCAATCACGTCATTCATTCTATCATTCTGTCAACAGTGCAATGAGAATCAACACACAACATTATCATTGCAATTTAAAGGTGGCTAAAGATGTTTAATAAAGAAAAATCATAATTCAGAATTCAAATAAAAAAGTAAAAAGACGACCAGTAGCAATCCAATATGAAATATTATAATTATGTCATTGCTGTTGGTTAGACTTCCACTGCTGAATATTCCTACATTTCCTTAAAAAGTATTGTGCTAAGAAAAAAATTATTTAAAAGGAATCTGTTACCAACATTCTTCAAACTATCTTCTTTTGTGTTCCACACAGGTGAGAAGGTAAGTTTCATTTTGGGTGAATGATCCCTGTTTGTCTTATTACTTTTAATGAAGATGATTATGTGCCGAGCGTCGACAACTTACTTTCAGTTTCATTTGCGGTAGTTTGCTTGCTGAAGAGATACTCAGCTTCTCATCTGTGGCGATGTGTGTTGCATTAGCGCTATCATATCTGGCTATGACATGTCATATAGCCTATAACACGTTCTCACACATTTTGGGAGGAGCAAAATTTACATATGTAGTTTCAACAACCAGATGCATTTACACTTGTCCAGTTTTGTCTGGAATGCGTCCCAGACCACCTCCTGAAGTGGTTTGAGAGATCAGATTCAAATCTGTCTCGAAAGCATTTCGGAGGGCATTTACACCTGGTCTTTTCACAATCGGATAGCTATCCGTTCAGAGAAAACGCATGAAGTGACCAGGTGTAAACAGGCCCACTGTTACAATGAATGCAAGTACAATACTGTGACTTGTATGAAAAAGTTTTTTCAACTTAGACTATAATGTTAACATATGGTTCAAAATTAGAAGCTATATAATGTTGAAGCATACCTGATCATAAAATATCACCAAGACAAAAACTCCAAAAAGTATTGACTCCACCAGCAGAATGAGATAATGTGCCCTGTGGAACAAATGGCCAAGAACAGTGTTATATTTTAGACTAACATATACAGTACCTCAGAAGGTATTTGTGACTTACACAATGAGCTGTTACAATGAATGCAAGTACAATACTGTGACTGTATGAAAAAGTTTTTTCAACTTAGACTATAATGTTAACATATGGTTCAAAATTAGAAGCTATATAATGTTGAAGCATACCTGATCATAAAATATCACCAAGACAAAAACTCCAAAAAGTATTGACTCCACCAGCAGAATGAGATAATGTGCCCTGTGGAACAAATGGCCAAGAACAGTGTTATATTTTAGACTAACATATACAGTACCTCAGAAGGTATTTGTGACTTACACAATGAGATGTTTGCTGGGAGCTTCTTCTTCTTCATCTCCATCTCCCTCTATTTCACTCCTTATTCTCCACACCCATGCTGACACCACCAGCGCCATGGAATACAAGCTGGCCATGCCTACAGAGATACACAGAAACAACATGGCATTAGAGGAGAGAAATGGAAAATAATAAAAAATATATAACAATACCACATAGTAGGGCTGCACGATAAATTGAAATGGAGTCGAAATTTGGGTGAACAATTCTTTTAAAATGCAAACATACATTTTTTTTTGTGTAACTTGTCAGTGAACTACGGCTCTGTGTAATAAATACTGCTCCATCTGAAAGCATGTGATGATGATTTACTGCTGATTACAGAACCGGCATTACTAGCAAAATGCGCATGACAAACGCATTCGATTAATCGTGCAGCCCTACTATGCGCCTTAATGAAGCTGCTCTGATAGAGGGGTAGCGCATCCTGACAAGCTCAATATGGCCATCAGGATGTGCTACCAGCCTAAAGAATGAGGTCAAATTCATGATTAAGGCATCGAAATTTGGGTGAACAATTCTTTTAAAATGCAAACATACATTTTTTTGTGTAACTTGTCAGTGAACTACGGCTCTGTGTAATAAATACTGCTCCATCTGAAAGCATGTGATGATGATTTACTGCTGATTACAGAACCGGCATTACTAGCAAAATGCGCATGACAAACGCATTCGATTAATTGTGCAGCCCTACCACATATTGTATGTACTTCTGCCCTAACATTTGCATCCAACATAGAATTTTAATTTTTTTTTGCAATGTAAAATAGAATATGTGACTATTTGTTTAAGACGTTCTTAAAGGGAAATGAAAATTCTGCCATCATTTCATGTCTTTCCAAAACTTGCAACTGTTTTGGGTCCCACTGACTTTCATAGTAAGGATAAAAATACAATGGAAGTCAATGGGACCCTGAAACTGTCTGGTTACCAATATTCTTCTAAATATCATCCTTCATCTTCCACAGGAGACAAAAAGTCATACAGGTTTGGAATGACATGAGGAAGAGTAAATGATGACAGAACAGTGATTTTTGGATGAACTATCCTTTTAAAACTCACCTGTGTAGAAGAGGAACTGAATGAAGTATTTCTGATTGAGCTCTCCAACACAGTTATTGATCCTATAAAAGAGCAAACACATATGCAATTAATTCATCAGAAACAATGAAAAAACACTGAAGCTACATTATATACTTTATAGCACAAGTATATAGCAAACGCTTATTCTACTTTAAAAACACCCAGTCAGTACAAAATCGGAAAAACAAGACACATCAATATACATTTAATTTGATGGCATTGGCCACTAGAGAACGATGAGAGACTGACCACGGGCAGTGATGGTCCATTCTCCTGATGCAGCGCTGACAAACTCTGCAGTGATGGGCACGAGGAGGCCGATATGTCTCACAGCGACTGCACACTGTCCAGCCCTCACAGCCCTGATGAGAAGAACAATACAAAAATTAAAGACATGTCATAGAGCAAATCCACTGAGAAATAAGATCCAATAGAATACACACACTATGTGAAAAAGCTTAAAAGACCACAATTAAATCAATATAACAACTACATCATAAACAGAACAGTAAATATTGAAAATAACATTTGCAAAATAGTTGATACATCTACACAACATGAATACAACTTCAATACCATTACAGGAGAAGACAGATCAGCAACACTCATTCTGTCATTTAGACGGTTGGACTGGGACCTCAAGTCAGAGAAATCAATGTCTGTCTCAGATAGAGGAACCATACCTGTAATGATAAATGGTTAAAGTTTACATTGATAGCCTTTCCTAACCCTGTTAAGCCTGACATATGAAATAATAGTCAGAAAAATCTTATTAAATGGAACAGTTTATTGAACCTTTAGACAAAATATTTAAAAAATCTAAAAATATGAATATGCATGTTATGTTTTGTATCATATTTATTACATCAGGAGGAAATGATGGTCCATATAGTATGATATAGTGAGAATATGGAACTCATACTCGAGGGGGGAAAAAAACATTTACACTTTTATTTAGAGGCCCAAACTGAGCATAAATATACAATTGAGTTAAGATGTTATTTGTAGGACCATAAAGTAAGATGAAATTCTGTTTTATTGTGGGGGCAACACATATAATGCAATGCAATAGAACGTTCCTCAAAAGCCTGCTGTATTATATTTGATACTTGCATTTTAATATGACTTATACAAACTGATTGTGTGGATAATCAAGTAAACCTAAGTTGCTTCATGTTCATTTTTAAATACTACTAACAATATAAAAGTATTCTTACATTTACTTTATAAAAACCACTAAAGACGTTGCAAAAAGATGTCTATCATGACCTGAAAGTGGACATTTGAACAATTATACTAAAGTCTTTTACCTCTTAAAAAAAGTCTAAAATGTCAAACAGAGGACAGAAGGCATGTAGTAGATTGTGTACAACATATTTTTTAGCTAAGTTTTGATCATGTTGATAATTTAGAACACCTGGAAATTCATGCATCAAATATAATACAGTAGACTTCTTGGCCTTAAAACACAGTCTACAATAACTGAAACACAGAGAAAATGAGTTTGATCCATTAAATAAGAGCACTCACCAGGATCAGAGAACACTGCTTTCGAATGGCAAGCCAGCAATAGCACTAGAATAATATTAAACACAGATCCATGGAGAGTGCACCATACACTAAACAGAGAAAATAGACAGCACATGTTGAAATATTCATAACTATTATATTTCGAATTTTTTAAAAATTGCAGCGGTATAGAATAAAACATTATAGTATAAGGCACGATGGCTTGTTGATTTCAGGTGAGATAACCTGAAACCTAAACCATATACTGTAACAGACTGAAAGTGTAGTAAACACACGTTGAATGATACGCTACCGCAGTCTGACTAGTACAAGACGTTCAAACGCACTGTAAACACATTCCGCGATAAAGCACGCCAGAGCGCTGATAACGCTGTGAACGGCGGTTGCTATGGGTGATTCTAAAACAAACTATCATAAAGCCATGATCTCATGAGCAGCGGATGATGTTACGTGAACCAAACGCTGGCTCTTTAGAGCTTCGTTCACACGGTACTCACCTTCCAGAATACGCGGGGATCAGGACATACTGAATCACAACATAGTCGGCGTAAAAGACGCTGAAATAAGTTAAAATGAGACAAATAAAGCCGCACGGGTCTCGCCGACAGCGAAACGCAGCCATCTTTCCATCTGCTGTCTTCCCGCTGATGACGTCATAAAGGGACGAGCGTTACGTATCTCGTGTTGTCCGTCAGCCGCATTCATTAGTCCTGACTCCTGACCACCTGTGATTGTGTGTGTATTTTTGTCTGGTGTCTGCTTATACTTATCATACCTGCAAACTCACAAGGGGTCAAAAAGGTGACATAGTTCGGACCCTTGTAGGGGGGTTTGGGGGCATCCCCCCCAGAATAATTTTTTTGAGAATTTAAAGCGGTCATATGATGCGATTTCAATTTTTCCTTTCTCTTTGGAGTGTTACAAGCTCTTGGTGCATAAAGAAGATCTGTAAAGTTGCAAAGACTAAAGTCTCAAATCCAAAGAGATATTCTTTATAAAAGTTAAGAGTTAACCACGCCTACCTAAAACGGCTCGTTCTAACACGCCCCCACATGTCTACGTCACTATGTGGGAAGATTTGCATAACACCTCCCAAATGTTCACGCAAAGAAAGAAGGCGTAACTTTTATTCTCGCTGTAGTATTGTTGCCGCTGCCGCCATGTCGTGAAGGCGCTGTGTGCTTCATTGTGAAAGCGAAACTACTTTGTTTGGTCTTCCAAAAGAGGACACGACTACAGATCAGTGGTTAAGTTGTATTTACAACACTGTTCCAAAACAGTTGAACCCAACTCCAGATGTGTGCAGCACATTTTATGGAGGACTGTTTACTGATCCTGGTAGAGTAGACTACAATGCCGGCTGTTCTGACTCACATTCGGCAAGTAAGTTTTCATTTAACGTTAAAGGATTTGCCACTGACGATTCAAACGCAAGTTGTAGGCAGTGTAGGGTAGCACTTGTTGTTTGTCATTTCTCCGATCACAAATGCAGACATGGTTTTATGTTTACCCGGCGCGATGCAATGCGTAAAAATACAGTATAAGTCATTATAATCAGTAATTATGTACACACTGGATGCAACAAATGCCTCATTTATAATGGGTTTTAATGTTTTTGTCTCGTAATCAATTATATGGTGAGGGGCGTAACATTTCAGTCTCATGCTTGAGGTATTCGGCCAATCACAATGCACTCTATAGTTGACCAATCACAGAACACCTCGCTTTTTCAGACCGATGAGCTTTGTAAAAATCGATGCGTTTCAAAAAGGCGGGGCATAGAGGAGAAACAATGTACATTATGTGGAAAATAGTGTTTTTTTTACTTTAAACCGCATAAACATTTAATTGCACCAAATACACAAAATAATGTTATTTTTAGCAGCATAATATGACCCCTAAAATATGTAAATGAAGCGATCTGGTGCACTCTGACAACAAAAAGGAAAAAGACAACATATGCATCAAGTAAAAAAAAAAACATTACCACAAACTTTTTGGACAGTGCAACTCTGTTGTCATTGGTGTTCATACTTCACTTTGTGAGCAGTGGAGTAATTTATTATTGCAAATTTTAATGTTCCCATTAGAGTGCGCATACTATCAACATACTCTTCACTGCAGAGAAAACAGAAGCTGCATCTGAAGTGGCATTAGATGTATTTACACAGACTGTTTAATGAAGTTGAGGTGCCATAAATTCATTTACACCACAATTTCAAATGCATAAATCATTTTATATAAGTTTTAAATATTTGTGAACATACAAGTTAAAAACGTTGGGGAAAATGCAATAAAAAAAAAACATTACCACAAACTTTTTGGACAGTGCAACTCTGTTGTCATTGGTGTTCATACTTCACTTTGTGAGCAGTGGAGTAATTTATTATTGCAAATTTTAATGTTCCCATTAGAGTGCGCATACTATCAACATACTCTTCACTGCAGAGAAAACAGAAGCTGCATCTGAAGTGGCATTAGATGTATTTACACAGACTGTTTAATGAAGTTGAGGTGCCATAAATTCATTTACACCACAAGTTCAAATGCATAAATCATTTTATATAAGTTTTAAATATTTGTGAACATACAAGTTAAAAACGTTGGGGAAAATGCAATACTTATAAATATGAAAAAAACAAACCACCAGTAGATGAGGGTAAATTACTTTTAATGAGCGAGTCATTAGTCATTCATTCAAATGGCTGATTCATTCAAAAACAAGGCAAGTGACTACAGTCTTTATGAATGGGTTACTGAATCATTGACTCACTTGATTCGTTCAAAAACGTGGATTCATTCAGTTTCGAAACCGCTGTGTTGCTCTTTCAAATGCATAAATCATTTTATATAAGTTTTAAATATTTGTGAACATACAAGTTAAAAACGTTGGGGAAAATGCAATATTATAAATATGAAAAAAACAAACCACCAGTAGATGAGGGTAAATGACTTTTAATGAGCGAGTCATTAGTCATTCATTCAAATGGCTGATTCATTCAAAAACAAGGCAAGTGACTACAGTCTTTATGAATGGGTTACTGAATCATTGACTCACTTGATTCGTTCAAAAACGTGGATTCATTCAGTTTCGAAACCGCTGTGTTGCTCGGACGGAGGCACAATACAGTTCTGCTGTGGCTTTGATTGAAACTTCGTCAGCGAACTTGAGCAAAAACAGTCAATATTGTATCACAAATTGCGAACTTTGTGTCTGTTTAACTCACAATGAAGAACTTCCATGCCGATGACATGTTTACATGCGGATGTGAGCATAAGCATTCCATCAAAACCATAGACTGTAAAAAGAAAACATGGAAGTAGTGTCCATGACGTCACCCGTAGATCTCTAAAGAGCGTTTTTGAAGCTCAAAGTGGGCGGATCCGGCCGTCGCCATCTTGGCAGTGCGTCACTCCCGGATAATCGAAAATGGGAAAAGAGGCGGGAGCTGGTTGCTGAAACCACGCCCACACCTAGCTCGACACCGGTGACAGCAGCGGCAATCCACCTGCCACTCGTGGCCGCGCCCTTAATTATGCAAAACTTTAAGGCTTAATATAATTTAAACGGATGAGTTATAAAAAAAAATTCACCCCCCTCACTGTTGTCATGAAGGGCAAAATTAGCTATATAGACAAAAATCTTTTTTTGAACCAGGCTGTTTTTTTCTGCTGTAAAGTTGGGCATTTTAACATGGGGAGTCTATGGGATTGACTCCCTTTTGCAGCCAGCCACTAGCGGCCAGTTGATGAATTACAGTTTAAGTAATTTCCGTGTTGGTTTCACGAGAGCGACCGGAAGGTTGCCGCTTGGTCAAAATGGACCGGCTGTGAGATGAGGGCTGCATCCGAAAACTTGGGCTGCTGTCTTGCTGCCTCATGAGGCAATGACTTTGCAGGCAGCATTTTTGCACGAAGGCATGAAACTGATTTCGGACAGGCTTCTGAGGCAGCGTAACGGTTTAATGATCTACAACAAAATAGAAAGAGTTTTTGTGATAACTAAACGAATATTTAATTACTATAATACTGATTTCTCACTAGAAATTTCAAAAGTGCAAAAAGTTAGTCAGAAATATACATTTACACACAAACTGACCACCAAACGCAACTTTCAGATGCCATCTTTAGTTTTTAGCTCAACTGTCACAGAATGGAATGCACAGGATTGTGGGATATCAAAGGCAGTGAAGGATACATCTATGCTGCCTTCAAAATTCGATCAGAAGAAGGTATCTCCGGAGAGGCAGCATTTTAGAGTTTTCGTATGCAGCCGAGGTGTGTTTCGTATGCAGCCGAGGTAAAGCAGCAGTGCCAGACCGATCAGACATCAAAGTACCGCGAGGTACCTGTACCGCGAGTACCATTCGAAAGCATGTGGAGCCATCTGCTCTCTGTAACTCTCGCGGTGCTTTGATGTCATACAGCGATCAGTCTGCGCATTCATTGCTGCTTCAAGTCAAACCGAGAAAGGGACTTTGGTCGAACACACTCCTGTCTACCAGCTCGCAATTTCTCTCTCTCTCTCTGCCCAGATCCCCCCCCCCTCGGATCTAGACGACTCACATAAATTACATATTTTGATTCAAAACGTCGAATTTCGTCGAAAAGCGACTAGTTTGCTGGTATGCTTATTTTCAAAACAATGATACAATTAAAAATCTAGCGCAAACTATCGCTTTTCTTTTTTTTCCGTTTTAAGGAATATTCTCACAAGCACTTAGCTGTTTAAGCACAATGTTTAAAAAAAATAAAATAAATAAAAATCACAGATTGTCGAAATGAAAAACATGATTTATTTTAATTTCTGATCACAGAACAACTAGCTTCTCATTAAGCGCGATCTGAGCTTGAGTGAGGTTCGCCAGGTAGGTCACCATCAACAGATCCTGCAAGGAAACAGAAGAGTCCGAGCACTTCAGAAACACCAGCACACAACAATGGTTCAATCTTTACAGGTTTCAAAGATTACTTAACTTTTTTGTTCTTTTTTTTTTTGTGATTTCCTGGATAAAGCTTTCTTAAAAATCATTTGGATTCAGGCAGATTGGCTGACATACCATTAAAAAACATTTGTGAACCAGTTGGATCAAGTCACAGATTCACTTAAAAACATCATATTACTATATACACTATTATATCACTATATTACTATATAATGACTATCACTATAAACATCATTTGCAATAACTAGCTGATTAAATATTTTAGAACACAAATAAAACATTCACTTTTTCACAAAAGGAATTTCATGGAAAACACTAAATTACAAATATATTAATTCCGGATTTTTTATGACTGTGGAAACCGTGATATTAAAGCATGTCAAGCATACAGAATATCATATTGTACTGAACGTCACTCACATTAATGTTGGAGTTCAACATGCTCTCAAAGTCTTCTGCTGTAATCTTCGGCACTTTGTTCACAAGATCCATCAGGTAACGACCAACACTGTTATCTGCCATCACTTTTCCAGACTAGACAAAAAAAACGTTTGCGTTATTAAACTGGTAAGATCTTGTGTCACCATCCTACAAGAACAGGTGTTGATTATACTTGTGGCTTCTTGAGACATTATATATGTATTTATTATTAATGCATAAGATAATTAAATACACATTCAAACATTAAACTATACTCCTTATACATTTAAATTCTATATAATTCTATTACGCATTACATTATACACTAGGCACATTTAAATACTATAATATTTAAGGTATATAGTATTTTTAGTCTAAATTACACTATGGTAATATATAAATCAATATTAATAAAATATACATATTTATACTATATTTTATTTATACACAAATTATAATATGCAGTCATCATTTATATATATATATTAAAAAAAAGAAAAAAAAAGTATTCTGTGCAGAAAAGCAATTGATTAACGCTTAGTAAGAACAGCCCTTGAAATTAAATCACTCTTAAAGCTGTAAGAAGATTAGACAAATTTCCTCAAACAAATAGATCACCAAAAAGAATTATGAGTTATGGCCAAAAGAGACACTCACCAGTACATCTTCTATATATGAGAGCATAGTGGACAGCATTTCTTGTACGCGTCCTGCTGCACTGGCCACCTGGGCCAGGTCTGTGGTCAGTCCGTTGGTTCGACTGGGAGATGCACGAGTCCTCTGTAAAAGGTCAACTATAGAGAGAGGCGTTTAATCCATAATGAGAATGTGCTCAAAAGAAAATACGCGATTCTTAAAACATGCAACTATAACAACATTCCAATCCAAAATATTGTGTAAACCCGTATTAATGAATAATACACAAAAGAGTGGAAAAAATTCTGACCTCCAATGCGCTCTGTGTCATAGTAAATGTACTTGATTGTCAGGGGGGTGAACATGACACCAACTGTCTTGCCTGGAACGCCCATCTGTGAACTAACAGCCCAAACAGCAAATAAATACCGTTACTGCAGCAGAGGAGAGCTGGTCATCAGCAAGAAATAATCTACCTTTGTCCAGATGATCTTACCTGACATAGGCACGGATGTTCATTTTGTTGCTCTGCAGTGCCGTGTCCACGGTCATGTGAATGGGGTTTGGCGCCTCTCGGCTGTAATACTCATGGATCAGAACGGAGTGCTCTGTGATGTCATATCCTGTGGCATACCTGCAAGACACAAATAAATTACGCTCATGTAGGGCTGCACGATTAATCGAATGCGATTGTCATGTGCATTTTGTTTAAAAAGCCGGTTCTGTAATCAGCAGTAAATCATCATTACGTGCTTTCAGATGGAGCAGAATTTACTACACGGAGTCATAGTTCACTGACAAGTTACGCAAAAAAAATTAAATCGCAGACGATTTTATTGCGCGATTCTGAAATCGAAGAAATCGTTCGAGATAATGACAGCTGTTTGCATAGCTTCTCAGTGAACTACGGCACTGTGAAGTAAATGCTGCTCCATCTGAAAGTATGTGAAAATACCATATTTAATAACATGCTTTTACTCCCAACTCACTTCATAACGTCAGTCGAGTGTTTGAAATAAATCCTTCTGTGAGATGATGTGGCTTCTTACACAGAATAAGGCACGCAACATATTTCATAGTATTTAAGCAGTGATAAAGGCATTGCATTATAAATATACTTTATTTTAATGAAAATTATAATAAGAACTCAGATAAACCGTATATTGTTGTAGTCATGTGTTTATTAGTCACGTTGAATCAATGAAAGCACTTGAATCTTCTGTTTATCCAGCTACCGCTATAGGCATTTCCTGGGTTTCTTCTGCGAGGCGTATTTGAAGTTTCCGCGCGAGAGCGCCCTCTGGCCTTTGGATGGAGATTTACTGCTGATCACAGAACCGTGCTTCACTGAAAGATACGCATGACAATCGCAGCTTCTGTCGAATCGCGATCTCGATTCCTTTTTGATTTACCGTGCAGCACTACGCTTATGTTTGCATTTTAAAGGAATTGTTCACCCAAAATGAAAATTTGCTGCATTTAATCTCCTGCATCCAAAATGTAGATGAGTTTGTTTTTTTTAATGGAACATATTTGGAGAAATGTAGCATTGCATGACTTGCTCACCAATGGATCCTCTGCAGTGAATGGGTGCCGTCAGAATGAGAGTTCAAACAGCTGATAAAAACATCACAATAATCCACAAACACTCCAGTCCATCAATTAATGTCTTGTGAAGTGAAAAGCTGAGTGTTTGTAAGAAACAAATCCATCATTAAAGAAATATTTTGAGCTTTTATTGCTTGATCCATATTTCTCTCATGATTCAGACAAAATGACCTTTTCACTGAGAAAACAATATTATGGATAGAGGACTCTTTATATTTGCTGGAAGCAACAGTTTGAAGCTAACAATGTCTTCATGATGGATTTATGTATTATAAGCACACAGCTTTTCGCTTACGATGTTAACTGATGGACTGGAGAGGATAACTGTGATGATTCTATCAGCAGTTTGGACTCTCATTGTGACGGCGCCCATTCCTTGCAGAGGATCCATTGGTGAGGAAGTGATACAATTCTGTTCTAATGTAGAAGTTAAGTACATTTCTATTTCTGGGTGAACAATTCCTTTAAGACAACTGTATCGCGGCTGGCTACATTCTCTAGGCCTTTCTACTGTGAAAGTGTTATTTTGGTATCATTAAAATACTATTGTAGTTTTAATAAATATTTTGAAATAGTTTTTATGTTCAAGTTTGAAAAAGTTTAAGTTTTTTTGTCAATTCTATTATTATGTCTATGTACTTTTTAATATTTTATTTCAAGTAACAAAGATGTATTTTATGGATTTAGTTCACGATATCTCTGCTGTGATCAACATCAATAACATCAACAGATCCTGCCAAACGAAGTTAATCAAATTGGTTATGGTAGCATGAGTGGCCACTTACCATCCAACAATGACTTCACTCGGTGAAACCTTCTTATGAAGCTCGTACATGTTCTTGGCGAACTCCATGTCAACAGCCACCTATGACACAGACACAGTTAATAAGGATGAAGTCACTTTTGTGTGCTGTTCGCTCGGAGTATGAAGAATCAAGTTCTAGAAATTCATGTACTATAATATTTACATGCTGGAAGCCCACAAATTTGATACTACATGTTCAAAAACCATGGTAATTTCTGGTAACATTCAGATACCACAAATACATCACTGGTACTTCTTTGTAGCCGCTATATGTTGCTGTTATATATATATATATATATATATATATATATATTCAGCTGTTCACTGAAATGCTGAAAATATATAATATATAATAAAACTCGTGGTTTTTGATTTTTGGACTTTATGTACTAGGGATAGTGTTTTTATATATCATAATTAGATATTGTATGATGCTCCTGACTGCCATTTCTTTAAATTTTTCCAAGTGAATTTTGAGCCATAATTTTAATCACAAATTAGCTTGAACTAGTTCACTTAATAGTCCCGTGGTGTAAAAATAGTCCTTCTGAGTTCCTAAAACTGTGTTCAAAAATCCCCAAGAGAATGCTCTTTTAAAATAAGATTGTGTGAGTCACTCCACAAGACTTTGTGGGAAAACTGGTGACAAACTAACTTGGGCACATGTGTTAAATGCAGAGCTGGGTAGTAACTGATTGGATTACGTAATCAGATTCCAAAAATTAAGTACTTGTGATTAGATTAAATTACATTTTAAAATACCCTTAATCAGACTACAGTTACTTTTTATTGATTACATGATTACATATTATTCACACAATAGCAAAAAATGATTCATAATTGATTGATTCTCCCTAATTTCTCTTTTTCATTTTTCAAACACAGCATTTGACCACTGAATTTACAAAAATCATTTCAGGTTTAAGAAGTGTTTCAACTTGCCTACTTTGCCATTGACTTCCATGGTATTTTTTTCCTACTGAAGTCAATGGCAACCACCAACTGTTTGATTACCAGCAATCTTCAAAATATCTTCTATGTTCAACATAAGAAAGCAACTCATACAGGTTTGGAACGATATGAGGGTGAGCAAATGATGACAGAATTTTCATTTTTGGGTGAACTATCCCTTTAACAATAATCATTTGAGAATAAAGTATAACAATAATTTCAAGGGTTTGATGTGATATGAGCTAACCGATCTTTAGATTTAATCACCATTGGTAGCGAGATTTATGGTAATGATTTTTTCCTCAGTTGGTCAGAACAAACGTGGCAGACTTGTTACTTACTGGGTATTTACATTCAGCTGCTAGTCTATCAGAAGCTGCTGTGTGGTGGTGGTCATTTTAAAAGTTGGCGATTAAAGTTCATTAATTTTACAGCCCAGTTTTCCTCGCTTGATCAGACCCCCTAATTACACACACACACACACACACACACGTTACTAAAACTATCATAAAACTATCTAGATTGCTGTGCCGTTGGTTCATGTGCACCATTGGCTGACGTCAGTGTTGCCAACTAATTTTCAGAGAAAGTTGCTAAATGACGTTGTGATGTCATTGCGCAATGACGTCATTGCGTAATCACGACGCAAAATTGTCACATCATTAAATCTCAGCAAAAAATATATTTTATATATGTTAATTTAGATTTGTTTGTAAAATAATAGGCATGATATAATATTAAAATATAAATAACTGTATTTTTAAATACATTGAATTATTAAAAACGTCAATTTAAGTTTTTTTAATAGCTAGTAAACTAGTAATTCTACACATTCTCAACTAATATGCTTTAAGCAGTGTATTAGTAGTTAGTTAGTATGCCACACTCTAAGAAAAGTCTGTAAAAATAAGGCACAATCTACTATGTTAATATGAAAGAATTTTCCGTAATGGTTTTTACGGAATTTTACGCATTGTGTTTTCGGGTTACAGGGTTACAATGGATGATGGATAATGGATAATGTCCTGAAAGAGTTTCCATTTTTCTTACAGTATACTAACTGATCAACAATCGCAGATACAAGCTACTAACAAAGTGTATCATAAATGAACAATTATTCAATTATCAAATGATTCAATTATTATTATTATTATTATTAAATTGAACAATTGCAAATAGCAGCTAACTCAATTCACGTGATGTGTGTACTGCTAGGCATCAGTGGTTTCCTCTTTTTGTGTAATTTGGATGGAAAATGTGTGCCTTTTTGTTGTCTGAGTCACTTAACAAAAGTTGCTAAAGGTTGCCAAGTCAATTTTTTAAAATTGCTAAATTTGTTGCTAGGTGCTCTTGGAAGAAAAAGTTGCTAGGGTAGTCTGAAAAGTTGATAAATTTAGCAACAAAATTGCTAAGTTGGCAACATTGGCTGACGTCGCCAAGAGGCGTCATCATTTTGCATATTATTTAAATATTTAGTTCCATATTTACAATTTAGATATAGCACTAAATTCAAATAAAATGTTTGAAAAAATGTTTATTTATCATTTGACCTAAATCCAGGGATATTGTTTTCTGCATGCATTATTTTTGTCCATGGGTTCATTAATAAAATGATTCGGTCCACAGTATTCCATTATACATGCCATAATAAATAATAGGACTGAAATCAAACTTCGGTCTCCGTCAAAAATGCATAAACGTCTGAACAATTTATTCCAGTTTTACAATGCCAGTTGATGCTCCTTGTTATAGTAACCTTAACAAAGCACAGTAACCACATTTATGTTCCATAAGGGTTAATCTTTTCATTTTCAAGAGTTGAAACGCCAAATAATGGCTGATCTTTTCATTTTATTGTCACTGTTTCAAACTACGGTCCCTAACTCATTTATTTCTCTGTGCTGGACAGCAACACATTAAAGGTGGCACAGCCTCTATCCTGCATTGGACAGTCTTTTTGCATTGCCAGCTGCCTGTTCTTCTACAGTTTCAGCTTCTTTGTCATGTCATATCTTGGAAGATGTGGTCTTATGGGATCTGATAAATCACACAGGGTTATGTCAGTCTGATGACTGCTGATCCAATTATCTGTCTCCATTTCACACATCACAGCTCAGCTCATTTCCAAAAAATATATAAGTACCAGAGACAAAAAAATCCTTCATTATCTCTCTGCTAGTGTGAAGACATTTCTGCACAATTCTAACATAATTTATTATTATCTTGGAAACATTATATTATCATTCTTATAACAGTTCACAGCACAAATCTCTTTCCTTGTTTTGTTCAAAAATATGCAATATTTTTTTTTATATATTGCTACATCTGTTCGAGCATGCAGTATATGGAACAATATAAAAAATATATCTAGTCTTTCTCCAATTATTTATTTTCACGTTACAGTTTTTCCTAATTAGTAAAGTTTTACACAGAAAGTAAAGAATGCCTTTTGAAAAATATGTTTTTTGTCCCACTCAAAACAGTGTTGCTGTCTGTTAATGTGATTTACTGCACACTGTTGCCTCTTTTTCTCATTTAGTTGACTCTGTTCTGAGAGCCATAATAGTGGCAAACGTGTGTTGAAAGTTAAGTGTGTGTCAAACATAACAGTCTTGGATGGACAAAATGCATAGGCAATAAGGGCCATTGACATTCACTTCCTTGTTTTTCATTTTGTGAGTAAAACTGATCAAACCTTCTCCAACAAAAGCCAATGATATTGTAGTTGTGCATTTGTTAACTTAAAGCAATAGTTCACCCAAAACTAAAAATGGAAAAAAAAATTATATATATATATATATATATAATGTGTTAATTGCTTTTTTTAACTAGCACTAAATTGTTTCAAGGAAACAGCAAACCATTTTTTTCAGTGCACATACATAGAGAAAGAGTTTCAATGCAAAATATTGACTGCTGTTTTTGTGTTGGTGATTACAACTGCCAACTTCTAACAAATTCAAACTCGCTGCTATCAGCAAAGCGTACGCTCCATGTTGCACAGTTACCCTTACGGAGCAAAAATATATGGGAATATACTGCAAAATATAATGTGATATATTACATAATAAATTTCCATATATGGGAAACTAGTGCTTATATTTTTCAATATACTGCAATATATGCATTGACCATGTATGGCTATATATTGATACATACCGTATAAAAATATTTAGAAATGAAGACAAAAATAGCATTGCAGGTAATATTCATAAAGCTTTATTCTTTACTGAGCACATACAGTATATTGCACATACATGTTCCCGTATAAATGTGAATGTATGTACACACATTTATACACACATTCACAGAATGAGTTACAGCAGATTTCTCGTTCCCAGCATGCTTTGCTTCTGACTGTTAAAGGAGAGTAAATCATAAAATGAAGTGTTATTTCATGTGTTTTGCTCAATATTAATATAGTAGGAGATATGTTAGTGTTTAATGTTCTATTATTTTGGAATTTAAAAGGGTTTCTGGTATGTCTGAGTTTGTGGGGCTACCACTGTGCTGAAGAGAAAAGCCTGTGGTTAGGTTGACGACTTGCCAAACACCAATAAAACTATATATTACTTTATTGAAAAAGTTATGGCTGTGCACTCTTATTTAAAAAGCAATGGTTGATAGACTCTTCGCTAAATGCTTTAATACATGCAGGTGTGCTTGTGCTGTTGTTAACTAGCTACATATGAAAATATGAAACGTATATAATGTAAATAATTATAAAATATATAAAAAATATATTATATATGTCTATTTATGTGAGTAAATACTGCATGAGTAAATATGTGCATTATATTTATACACATGCAGTACCATATCTTATCACATGAACATCTACAGTGGGGCAAAAAAGTATTTAGTCAGCCACCAATTGTGCAAGTTCTCCCACTTAAAAAGATGAGAGAGGCCTGTAATTTTCATCATAGGTATACCTCAACTATGAGAGACAAAAGGAGAAAAAAAAATCCAGAAAATCACATTGTAGGATTTTTAAAATTATGTAGTTACTTTAAGCCACAACAAAAACAAAAAAAAATGTCCAATTCAGAAATGTCAACCTTATTCATCATAGAAGAGATGAATTTGTCTGAAAGGCTAAAACGCATTTAACTGAATAACTATGTACACCATACACAAAAAGTGAGTGTCATGTCGTAAGAAAATTAATTCATTTCAGAAATGTAAAACATGTTCATCATACAGTAGTTATATTCAAGTCTGAAATTTATTTGAAAGGTTTTTGATAGTTAAATATAGAAATGAATAGGAACAAGAGTGTCATGTAATTGACCCTAAAAAAATCCTTTGGTCTTTATGATTGTGAGAAAAGGACAATGATCCCATGTACATCACCAGTATCACAGAGATCACAGAGCACTTCTTTTGTGTGGCCAAATCAAAATTAAAAACATGTTTAAGTGATGATTCATGTTAAAAAATGCAATATATGAGTTGAAGCTGTAGCTTAGTGATAAATGCTTATGCTTCAGGGTAAGTTGAATTGTTCTCATTCCACAGTAGTTTCTTTTTTTTCTTTCCCGATAAAAGTGAACTGTTTTTAGAGGGATGCATCATGGAATCTCCAATCTGTTCATCTGCAAACAAAATCAGATTTAATGCTGTTTTGGAGCACAAGGAGAAACAACACAGTCTCCCAAGGTTTCACTTCAGTCTGTTTTTTTTTTTTTTTTGCCAGCTGTGTTGGTAGTAGCCATCTGCCATCCTGTAGCATTACGCAGGAGAATCTGTTGTACAAGCTTCCAAGAAAAGCTTTGCTTTGCTGCCCTACCCAGCAATGCGGATTGTACAATAGCCTCTTGAGGCATTTATTTCATCTGTCCGGCACACTTCAGTCCACTGCGGTCACCCTCTGTTGAATAGACTAGAGCTGGTGTACACACAAGGTGGGTTAGTGTAAAGTGCTATGGGTACAAATACAAAAATGCAATGAAAGGAAAAGTCACACAAATACATTATTATTTATTACAGTTTAAAACTCAGGGAAAAGTT